TTTCAAGTGCCCAGCAGACCCAAAAAGAGGAGTTTTGGTTTCAGCCCCTCCCACACAAGGGCTGTTCAGTAACAACACCACACCTGCCCCCTGGAACTCACTGTGGAAATGAGCCAGCAGGAGGAAGTATTCCAGGAAACCAAGATATATGAGTGACATTTAATGACGTTTAATCACTCTATCTTGACAAGCCCTGAGCTGGCATTGTTCCAGCTGAAACACATGATATGTGAAGCAAAACACCAACCCTGTGAACTTCCCTCTCGTTTGGAACTGGGAATTCCCAGCTGAAAGAAAACAGCAGCAAAGACACTCCAGGAATGTCTGTCTGCCAGGCTCAGGAAACACAACAGCCCTGGCTGGAGTACACTAATGCACCTCAGGACTTGACACTAATACACTTGGGAATTAGAACAGCACTCCCACTTTACAACATAATGAAGCATTTCAACTTAATGACATATTTAAACAACTGACCTGACACAGGAGTTTGCACACGTGGACTGAAAAGGCTCGTTCAAAGCATGTCAGCTTATCAGACAACCCCTGAATCACACTGAAATCCACAGTAAGGAGTCCTGTCTGTATTTCTCTTCAGTGAAATATCTTGATCTATATACTCTAGAACATAAAACATTTCCTTTCTTGTGGGTTTGCCTTAAAAACCTTACCTGAGGAACCATGAGAACAGGTATTTGGCAGCTTGGGAAACCCAACTCTCTCTGAGAGCTGATTTTTAATATTCAGGCCCAAATCCTGGGTCTTCTTACTGTCAGCTACACAAAGAGCTCCCTATAAACAGATGGTACTTTTAACAGAAATGGATGTTCCTGATTTTTATAGTTGACAGTCACAATACTTTTTCTGAGAACTTCATTTTCCTGTGACCTTTTCGGAGCTCAGATTCCTTTATTTCATGGGAAGTTCACAGGCAAATGAAATTAATCACTACTTCCAGACAAATAATCTTCTCCAGGATCTTGAATAGGTGAAGTTACTCAGGAACAGCTTCTCCTAATCCTTTTCCTACAAAAGCAGAAAAGCCTTCAGGCTGGGTTTACTCACAAACTCCTTTGTAGCACACCCTTTACTGTTAAACCACTTCCACAGACGATGCCATCAGTACATCCCCCTGGCAATTCCAAGGAATCCTTTATCCCAGAAGGGATGCTCAGCCCCACTGGAGTGGGCTCCTGTCACCTGCAGTTCAGGGAGGTGCCAACCCCTGTGTACCAAAACCTCGCTATTTCTGCCCGGTCTGAGGAGCACAAGGTCAGACCCACCCTGGCTGTGCTGTCAGAGCTGCACAGGGGAGAGGTTACACCCAACCCATCACCTCCAGGTTGAGCAAAAAGCAAAGCAGGAAAACATCCCCTCAGTGCAGACCCACATTTGTGCACTGGATGCTGCTCTGGCTGCCCACACACACACCTCTCCCTCCCCAGCTGAAAGGGGCAGGGTTTCTCCTGCCTCACTGAGCAACCAGAGCATCAGTTCTGGGGGTTCCCTCTGGGCAAGAACCACTGCTCCTGGTTCAGAGAAGGGCAGCCCCCAGGGACACCTCGGGGTGACAAATGGCAGCTCAGCAGGGGGACAGCAGCCCCCACTGCTGGACAGACAACCCCCAAACCTGAAACTCAAGTCTTTCTTATTCCCATTTTTATCTTCAGGAATCACTAGTAATACAAGACCTAAATTCTACAATCCCTTTTGTCATTAAAACCAGTTACAGCATACAACAGGTTTACTGATTTACAGAACAGTCCATCGAGCCTGGTTACCCTGAAAAACCTGTTTTCTAAACTATTTCATAGATGCCATTGAACATTCATGCCATAGATGCCATTGAATGCACTATTTGGTGCATTCAGACCAAAGCACACCCAACTTACACTGGCCAGGTCTTCAAACTGCAAGTTTCTAACACACACCAAGAGCAAATGCTATTTTTCACTAACACTATTAAAAGCAGAACCCCAGCACATCTCCATATTGCTGTCAGACACCAAGAACTGAACTCTGAGGTTCCTTTCCTTCCCCTGTCCAGCAGCAGGAGCCTGTCAGACCATGGGACTTCGTAAGGTCACACATAAACCTGAACACCAGGGAAAACACTGTTGATAATTCCAGTCTGGAAGCTGAAGCTGTTGATGGAGTGAACTGAAGCTCTCCCTTCAGTCTCTCTGATAAACGAAGGTATCTGAGAATTCAGACGACAATTGCAGCAGTCACATTTTTTCTGTTAAAACTCATCATAATAACCACCTTTCTGTGTGAGATGAATTGGGTAAAACTCTGAAGGTGGCAGGGGACCCACCAGGCAAGACAAAGCAGTGTAAATCCCAACTTCCCATTCTATTCCAGAAACGTTGTCTGAGGATTCACCAGGCCTGTGCAGCTGCCACTACCCTGTGTAACTCAGCTGCTCAGACCTTGTGGAACCCACAGCACAAGAGATCAGGGCCCTCCATTGCAAGACATCCCCTCAGTCAGGAGAGACAAGTTAGATCTCCCCACAGGATACATCTCTGACCCCCAGAACAAGACTCAACAGCAGAGTCAATATTCACTAATGTTTTTCTCACTGTCTTCATAAAATGTTTCAATATCCAAAGAGAATTTTGCTTATATCATAAAGAGGAGAAACACATCAAGTCTGAACACAACTAAGTAACTCCCCCCAGCATTTTCAGGGCTTATCACACACAAAAAGACAAAAGAGCAGAAAGTTAATACTGCACATTTCAAAGGCTGGACCTCACATAAGGCAAGCACGAGGCACCCAAACCATCCCTACCCTTGCAGCAAGCTATTTATAATAATAATTATCCCTTCTATTCTTAGCTTTGCTCCACTTTGTACTTTTAACACAACTGAACATAGTGTTAAATGTAAGCTGGAGTTCCCTATGGCCTCTTCACAGTGCTCCACAACTTCCACAAGGGAAGCTCAGATCTTCCCTTCACTGGATTTATACTTGGTTTTTGCACGGAAACTACTGTGTCTTCGATGGCTTTACATCTTAGTATTTGTCGGTAGGCCAAAGAGAAAGCTGGTGCCACATGACTGCAAATTGGGATGTGCAGTTCTGACCTGCCTTACCTTCATTTTTCTCTGACAAGGGCAGATGTACAGTCAGAAACACGATTTACAGAAATACAACACGAGTTCTATTCAGAAGGAAGACTGACAAAGAGGATCGATTCCCAGCTCCCTCGTAAAGAGGCTCTGGAAAGAGGGCACGAAGCTGGACATGCTGGCCAGGTACTGGAGGAGTTTGAAGGTGATACCAGTTCAAACCCACAAAAACAATGAGAGAAATGGCAACTTGCACATTAGGTACAAACCCCATAATCTTGCTTAGAGCATCACTTTAATTTTGCACATAAAACTAACAAAAAAGAGAAGGAAATGTTGAATGACAACAGGAAGAACCAACAGATCACTGTTGCATAGATATCCATGGAAAAACATGAAGACGAGGGGACAGAAAGAGAAAGGATCAGTGATATTCCCGTGTCCAAAAGAAGAGGCGGAGTGGCTGTACTAGAAGAGCAAATGGAGTGGAAAGGACCTCGGTGAGAGGACCAGCCGAGCTGGCCCGAGCTGCTGCTCGCCCGGGGCATGAGCTGAGCTCGGGGAGGCTCCGCCGGTGTGTCCTGAGCTGGTCCCGGCCCCGGGCACTGCCGAGCCCCGGCCGGACCCCCGCCCGCTGCCTCAGCCCGCACCGACCGAACCCGAACGGCCCCGTGAAACCCCCGTGTCACAAGTTGTAACGCCTCAAACCCCACTGCTGTGCCCCCCGGGCGGGAGCGGCTGTTCCCACAGAGCCGAGCCGGGGCTGGGCACCCCGGCGGGGGCTCCCGCGTGTGCCCCCGGGCAGCAGCGGGGCTCCCACATCCCCGCCGTGCCGGGACCCTCAGCCCGGCACCCACGGGCAGGGGTTCCCCGTCCCCACAGCCCGGCACCCCCGGGCAGGGCTGTCCCGTCCCCACAGCCCGGCACCCACGGGCAGGGGTTCCCCGTCCCCACAGCCCGGCACCCCCGGGCAGGGCTGTCCCGTCCCCA